TTATTAAGTACAGATTTATATTATTAATTGATAATTATTGAATACGACTATTTTGTTACAAAAAATACATTATCCAAAGCGAAATTAATATGTAGCTATATTACGTAGGTATTATGATAATCGTCAATATTGCAAGAAAAAAGTATTACACAAATTAGACTTACTATGAAGGACACCGCGGTTTAAACACTGACCTCGGTAACGTATAAATAAAAAAACGGGTTTAAAACGCGAATATATTAAATTACTTATTTACAAATTATTTTTTACAGGGCAACATTCCGGATGCAAAAATACAGATGTCTCTAATGTCAAAGTCGCTAACCCCCATCCATAGATGAAAATGCCTCGAAATCGCGTTTCGGTTTTAGTCTGTGGATTTCCGAATATTCACAGCCAAGACAGATCGACAGCGCATCTTGTACAAAAGTTATTTATATGGTTCGGATATTTCATCGCCTGTTTGTCTGTCCTCCTTTATCATAAAAAACAACTTTGTGATTCAAGTGCTTAATTTCGAAGGCGAAGTGTTTTAGTAGGTAGGAAGAGGAAGAGGCCTTTTTCAGTTGTTTCTAGTTAGAATATTAGAAGTTTCTTTATTGGTCTGTGTATTGACAGATATCTCTAAAACTAGACAGGTAGAGGGGATTAACATATTGGTCATAATTTATGGGAGCCATTGATTAGGATCGGATTATAAGTCGATACGCGCTCAACTTAAATCCTTTTTAACATTTTGTGGCAACAAATTATAACAAATGATTATCTGTTGTGGCTATAAATAAGCAGATAAGCGGGAAAACATGCATTGACTATGTGTAGGCGTTTTGAGTATCTTTGTATAACAAATTGTTGATAGAAGAATTTCCCAGTAGGGGGAAAATTGGAAAATGAATTACAAGGGAATCATTCAAAAGTATGATATTTGTGTTTTATTCGAGTAACGGTTTGAAACGCGAAATATTAGTAACTTATGGGTTATAAGTTAACTTATGGGCCGTAATTTATAATAAGTGACTTAGTGATATATCTTTCTCTTAACATACTAAATAATTCATTATATCGTAAGGTTGACAACACATAAAAAACCTTACAACGGCTTTAAACACTAAACTAAACTATTAAAAATTACTTATTTATTTGATATACTGTTCAAAACATTAATAGTTTTCCCATGTTATTGCATATGATGGCACTATATAAATTAATAATCGATTTTTAAAAATTCAGGTCCTGCCCAAGTCGTATTTTTTTTTCAATTTTTAATATACTGTTATCATAGCGAGAAAATTATTTTTTGATTTAAATTTAAAAATTATTTAGCAACTGACCTCTTATATATGTCAAATATAAAACTGTAGCAATTGATATGTACTGTAAACTCAATTTAAGCTATTTAAAATAATTAGCAGCCTTAAAGACCCCGGTGTGACACCGTAATAAGCGTTTATTTACGTGCTTAATTTGTCGTATTTTACATTTATTACCCATGTAGATTGTTGTCGCCAAATACGGTAGAATCCTTTTACCCTGACATCCGATGTGCCGACTACCGATACGTCATAAAGATAAATTAAATAATAAATCACGATCAATAACAAGCGCGATACAATCGACAATACTAAGCGAAAACGCATAGCTGCAATTTTTGGACTCATCCAACTGCTGTAATGTATGGCGAATAATCAAAGGCTCGTTCGGTTCGGGTTCGATTCCCATCGGCTTTCTCAAAAATATACTATAATTCTTATAAAATATGACAGACTTCGTATTAAAAATCTTGGTATTAAATTGATGGTAGGTGTGTTGAAAATACCGTCCGGTTCACGAACCACCGCCCACCGATGTAAAGAAGCAGTTTGATCGCGTGTCGAATGTCCAAAGCCAATATAGGTCGACATCGCATCGTGCCCAGAGGTTACATGGCTGGGCCGTTTCACCTTCCATCTATCGAAGATATCCTCCTCGTCATAAAAAAATTACTTAATTAATCCGAAAAGGGCAATAATCAGATAAAATTGAGATTGCAACCCAAATTTTTGGACTTTGATATATCACTCATGCGCTCGCTCAAGATGGCTGGCCAGATTAAAAGTGGACAATTTATAAATGCGTCTTTGACAGGTTAAATTGATCCTTGAACAAATTTAGCGTATACTTAAAAGGACTTGAATATGGACATAAAATGTAAGTAAAAACTGTATCTCGCTTTCGGATCGCGATAAATTTGTGCGTATTTATTTTTATTTCGATAAAGGCTAATATAGATAATGTCACCGTTGAATCCCTTTTTTGTATCGAAATTTTGTTATATTTTGGCCTTTCAACGCATAAGGGACTGTCGAAGATTGTACTTTACTTAGGCACCTCTTAAAGCGTAGTCTTTTCTAAATTATCTTTACAAACTGATAGCAAAAATCATAGCATTTTGCCTTCTTATGTAAAATGAATGTTATTGAATAGATACAATAAAAGTGGACTGTTGTTCCTCCGCATACATTTTGTGGTCTTTTTATATCTTTTGTGTTTATCTCTGTGTAATAAATGATTTGATTTGATCTGAATATTTTCTGAAATCAAATAATAAGACTTCTGCCTCCTCGGTAGAAAATCTTTCGTATTTCTCTGAGATTCCAGCTCAGAACTCTTTGCAAGATGGGTAATGCTTGTGTGTTTAGACACTTTTGCCAGCCCCAGTCATAAAACATCTAAGCAAGATGCGTTATCGATCTATTTTGACTTACAACTGCAGTGAATTAAAATTACCACTTCACAGCTTCTCTTTTTAATAATCATTAAATATTCATATTTTCCAGGCGAAGTCCAACATGTTGGACTCAGTAGGAATCGAACGCGACACGTTTATTCATACTCGTGTAATTTATTGACATTCATGTGTTACACATATGAATGTCAATAAATTTAAAAAAATGATACTCATAGAAAAATTAGTTTAAAGCTTGACAACTTTAATAGTTTTCACACGTTATTGCACATGATGTCACTATATAAATAAACATTTAAAAAGAGTGTAAAGTTCATATTATTCTCAGTGTAAGGAATCGTTACGTTTAATCTTGAACACAATAATAATATCTTCGGAAAAGAAAGGCCGAAATTATTCCAGCGCGTCGTGGACTGTTGACGGATCGCTTACAGTCCAACGAGCCAGGTTGAGATTCGAGATGTCAGCGAACAACAACGATAATGGATTTCTGCCCTCGTTTCCCCTTCGCGAATCAATTAATTCATCAAACACTGTGATTTAACAGTTCACATCGAGCGATTCTTATTTTGTTTGACCGGCTGAATTAAGACGACGTTTTGATGTTACATTCTTGCCGCCCGCGTCATCGATGTTTTTAAATGTTTCTACAATAACTTTGCCCATACATGCATATAAAACTTGAATTAATCCTTTTGTTCCTAAAATGCTTACGATTTTACCTACCCTATTGACATCAAATAGCGTATCTGCATTTGTTATGTTGGTATACGTGAAATATCGGCATTACATAAATTAAAAAAAATGGTCTACATTATACAAGAACAAATTTCACAATTGTAACAGAAAGCTCGTCAAGCAAAGGGAAAAACAAAAAAAAGTGCAATGTGATAACAGAGAGAAGTCACGCCACATCAGCGTACGTCCAACAACGTGTTATTATGTTTTATATTTAATTTTTTAACGAATCCTCACGAGCTGTCGACGAGGAAATTGTTCTGCTAAATACACAGTGTATGCACGCGATGCTAACTGAATTGTGTTAAAATGCTTTTGCGCCGAAATTTTTAACGCAGAGAGCCTCTCTTATGACATAGGACGGGTGTGGACTCTCGATGGAAGGTGAAATGCCCCAGTCAGATAACCTCTAAGTAAGATGTGTTGTCGATCTTTTTGCGCTTTAGATATTCAGATATCAATGCGCGACGCAAATTTGTAGTTTTTGTAGTCCATAGACGGGATATAAACACTATCCATTTAATGTCCAAATTCAGTTCATGTTAATTTCAATAATTAAAGAAAAATCTTCAAGATTTTTCGACTAAGTGCATGTTTTCAGAAATGTCTACGTTACTTCACACATTGTATAAAAGCAAAAAGTAATATATGACTAATAAAAAGTCGGATCATGATTTAATAAGCACCGCATTTAAATTCGTTAAAATCAGTTTTATTTAATATTGTACTCCTCTCGTATAGTACCCATACAACAAGGCTAAAAGCGACTGACACAGCTACGCGCAACTAAACTAACACCAAGCGATCCAATTCAATTTGGTTTCTAAACCAACAAATACTCAAATCGAAAACTTAATTTGAGAGTGACGTTTAGTGCCACTCGAATTTATTAACTCGTGCCCAAATATTTTTCTTGCTTTTTATAATTATTACGGTCAGCAAAACAAATTATTTGACAAAAACAATAATAATATGTATTTACCATCATTAAATTGACCGTCTCTGTAGACGTATTGCTTAGCATTGCCTTATGCGCGAGAGGTCCTGGGTTCGAATCCCAGGGAAAGAAAAAACAATTGTTCCGGTAGGGTAGGACTCAACTCTCAATATACTCAAATGTATTCGCCCCATGCCCCACGAGGGGGAAACGGGATTTCACACATATCATTAAATTTTCATAAGACTTTAAACTGATTTATTAAAACAACAAGCTTTCGTTCGCATCATCGTTTAGACTTTGAATTTCAGTAGCAGATAAATTGAATAAGGAAAAATCTACTCTATACGTATTTCTATACACTATACAAGAGACAACAATAAATTGCATTAAGAAGATATATTTATGTTACTGTATCATTTTTACTCTCGTAAAAATTTAAATGAAAAACTATAACACCAAACTTAATTTTTACATTTTTACTCTCTATCTAACTAATGGAATAAAGTTTATTTCCATTATTATTTGTAAGTCCTGTTATTGCCTATTTTCTACTTTTTTCTTAAAGTTTTTTATAATTATTATTTTCTTTTTTTCCAGATGAACCAGCAATGTAAAGTGTGCGGAGAGCCTGCTGCCGGTTTTCACTTTGGTGCATTTACTTGTGAAGGATGCAAGGTAATTTTAAAATATATAGTTGACTTTATATGATATAAATTATGCTTCACTACTTATATGTACTAAGTTAAGTTAAGTTAAAATACCCATTAAAAATCATCTTTCGTCGCTATTGATTGACGACATTATGGTTGTAAAGATACATACAAAGACGTATCTATAAAATGTACGCATAGGTGAAATCCTGATATATATCCTTATAAGAGTTGTCAAGCAGATCAGATCAGATAAGAATGGCCTGGCCGACCAATCGACTTATTTTATTTCCATAGGATTCAAACTTAGGACTATGCGTTTAAACTTAGCGATATGTTCGTCAATATATAATGAAACCTTATGCAAAACAACAGCCGGTTTCGCTTGAGTTTTTATCTTCGTAGTAAAGTGGCGATTTACGCGAAACAACGTAACTGACGCGTCAATGGTTCGGCGCTGGCATCGGACGTCCAGGAATAAATCACTGAGGCTGAGCCGTAGAATGATTGGATGTGTATTTATTCGAATTGCCTGTATACATACGCTGTTTAGTCTTTAATTCAATAATTCCGGGTTCGTTGACCTTTCTCGATCTTTGGATGCATTTGATATAAGTCTACTGTTATAATATTTTTCTTACAAATGCCTTGTAATTAGGAAAAAGACTATTTTCTTTACTTAGGAGTTTTTTACCATTCAAAACGAAATGAATATACTTAAAAATACTCTCTGTTCAGTATTCAGGCAAATTTAAATTATTTTCGCTACACCAATACTTTAAATAAATATATTCTATCGCCAATGATCACAAAACATTTCTTACATACGTTCGGTAATAAGCGAATTACACTGAAAATACTCTCAGAAGATCGAAACTGGTCTAAACAGGGTTCGTATTTGGTACCCAATTTCACTGCGTTCCGTTGATTGTGAAAATAATTTATCGCTTTTACACAATCCTTTCAAAGGCCCGGTACGTTTAATTAAATCTACATTAAAGCTAGACAATTAAACGGGTGTGTAAGTAATAATGGCCACATGAGAATGATTAACGCCTTCGTTTAAGACTAGAAACTTCATAACCTCAAAATATAGAATGCTTAAGTTAGTACACCGTAAAAGTGCCATAACTCACAAACCCATTACAAATAGATGAGAATATGTCAAAATCATAGAAACCATTAAATAATTGCGCGCACGCAATTGATCTATAAATTATAGAATTTATTATTATTGCTATCGCTACAGTAATGTATGATTAATGACGTGTGGCGCGCGCGTATTACGTGTCGCGATGGCGACAGCGAGTGTCGTAGCGAGTGGATATGAAGTTGCCATCACTTTTCCTCACCGTCATTTTGTATACAAATTTTAATATTACACGAAACTATTTAAATCTAGTTAGTGTTTACATTTGCACTTTATTTTTATATATCAGTCGTAATTATTGTGGCTTCAAAAACAGGAATAAAAAGCGCGTAAATATTTCATAGATAATAAATTACACGATCTATTTCGCAGAGTGTAGCACAATAGCAAAAAGTCGTTATATCGTATATATATATATACATAATCCGCGCACAATTTGTCGCCGAAGCAGCGCGAGCAATTTGCTACCCCGAATCAATTTGCCAAGTTTTTGTCATGGAATAATGTAGCTCGATTCAATTTTCTGTTAAGTGCGCTCGCGCAGCCGCCTCCTGCGTTGTTTTGCGATAACGGAACGACAGCGTTCAATCGAACCGACTGGGAACAGCTTTTTATGGCGAATTAAAAATATGGAGGTGTTTTATAACCTGTTGATAGGGTTAGTTGACACCGCAGATAACATAACTGTCCGACATTTTAGTGGAAACACCGATTTTGGAGGTCGTATCATCGAATTTTTAGGGCATAAACAAAAAGTTTATAATTTCGTAACCAAATGTGCGAAGATGACACTAAAGTAGACAGACGTTTACAAAATCTAGTTTTCCTAATACAATAATAATATAGGAATTTATTGAAATATTTTAATTGTTAGAATTATTATCTGTAGTGCCTATGCTTTTATACGCCAAACAGTCTGTGGTGAGGATTTATTACTTCTCTCTGATTAGTCGTTTAACATAAAAAAGTATTTATTCAAATTAAAACAAACGCAACGCAAGAGTGGGCGGCATAATTATGTCCTCATAATAATTTATAGTAGGCTCTTCGAGAAAGAACAAAAATAATTAAAATTTCAATGTTATTAGCATATCTATTTATTGCTTCGATGTTGCGTTAAAATAAAAAGCCTATACGACTTTTTTCCCTAAATTAAATAGTAATATAAATATCGGGTTTAGCAGTAAGTGCACTCTACTGCAGTTCACGCGGTCCCAAGTTTATATCCCGGATGACGAAATGTTTGTTTAGGCATTTCCTAAGATAATTTCTAGTAGGAGTTTAGAAGTCCAGGCACGCCAGCCAGGACCTCTGCCTGACCAACGTTTCTCCAGCGGTCCCGGTAATTTTCCCTAATTGAGTAGCACGGTGGACCTAACGTTTTAAATCTTTCCCATTAAAAATGAGACCGTCCCAGCAAAAAATAAATAAAAAAATGTAAAAAATTAATGGAAAATACAGAAAAAAAATGGATAACATTTAAAAATACGTTAACGGTTTAGAACGCGATCTATATTAACGTAGGTATTTACAATTTACTTTAAGTGCGGTCCGTCCATTTAATTAAATAATATTGTGTTCTATTTAAATGTGTACTACTTGCGTAAACTATAGACAAAACGGAATTATTTATCCCAACTGTGAGAATGTAAACACGAATTTGACGATTGAAAGTATGTAAGTACTATTTACGTGACTTCAAACTAACATAAAAAGTTTAATTATTATAATTAGATTGGTGTTTTAATAATTAGGACCCCTGTAGATTTTCTCATATCAATAATTAAGCAGATTTCTCATTCCACTTTCATATATTCGGTGTTACATTTTATTATATTAGTAATTCCATATAAGGAGAAACTACTTCGTAAGCTTCATTTTGTGTTTTACACAACAAGGATCTATAATAAACTCATTACAATGTATGTAATGAAACTAAGTCTAAGTGGATATAATTACCCTGTCACATATAAGATGCACTGTCGAGCTATTTTGGGTTTTGTACTTGGGTTGTAACTGTAACCGAAACTCAATTACAAAATACGGCTTTTCATTCGTAAATGATGGTTTGTGACAAACAGGATTCCAATGTTCCTGCTACACATTTAATATTCAGATTTTCTAAACCAAGTCAGACTTTTCAAAAAAATATTTTTTCGTTGGAATCAATTTACGACATATTGATTATACCATAACTTTTCCTATTAAATGGATTTATTATTAGAATAAAATAATAGTATGACGTTAGTGGGTAGGTACGTCATAAAATGCTAATAAATTTGATAAATACTTTAAACATATTAAAATACAACAAGGCGTAGGCGTTTTATAACTAAGTTTTTAATATTTCCAGGCGTGGCTTACCAGTTATGATATTTTTTATAATATATGCATATAATTCTAAAGTTATTTGATTGGATTTAAAGACAGACATACAAATCAATCAACTAGAAGTATTGTTGTAAAGTTATTAATTAAGTTTATTATTTGGGAAATTAAATAATTAATTAATTTTTAATTATTGTAATATTGTGAGTTGATTGCGATCTATGCCTTTATATTCTGAAACAAGCCTGTTGTGCATTCAGTTCTGCAAAGTGGCAACTGGTCAATACTGTAATATAAAATACAATAAAATTATGTATCATAATTTAGTTAACTTTTCGTGATTTCATTTCTGTAATTTTCTCGAATATTGCCTCAATACCTCATGGGCGGTTTTTTCTTAATATGTTGAAACCTTGTATAATGTTTATTCTAGGGTGGTATTTTTCATGATTAACTTTTCGTGACTTCTATTCTTAAATTAAACTTTTTAAATAAATAAATGAAATTTATAGAAATTCAATACGCTTCATATGACAATGGAATTTATAAAATGCGGTATATTTTAAAAATGTCCCAGATTATGAGGAAAAAAAGACCAATTTCGGACCATCCGCCCTCATTGGAAGCAAATGAACCAAAAAATTGCGCAAGTATTGAAATTAAAGATCGCGGCTCCGATATTATAATGACGTATAATGTGGGTACACGGTATGAATAATTTATCGACGGTTTTTTTGTGAAACCGTACGAGCAATTTGCCATTAAGCACGACCGGTATTTTGTATGTGTCAAAAATTTGCGCGATATTGATGCGTTTTTGCTTAGTCGTTTAGTGTAAAGCGATATTATGACGGAGAAGGAGTATTCAACTTAATATTAATATTCCAATATTAAATTCAAGTTTTAAATTTAGAATATAAATCCGGGCTCGTTGTTCAACTGATAGCAATGTTTGGCTAATGATCAACGTATGTTGCAGGTTCGATTTCCACCATCAGGTTTTTAAAAATGAATTTATTAACTTTAGACTTTATTAATATTAAAGTGGATGCGTATTAAATCTTCTCCTTACGGTCGTAGCGTTTATTTAAATGAGGTTTAATTGCGATACTTACCTAAATGCGATACTAGAGTAAAATAATCGATCCAAATAATTCTAGTTCAGGTCACAATCGTCACTTCGATTTCAACACCAAATTTAAGCATCGTTAGCGAATCTACACTTTCCCTTGCCTTTGTCACAGAACAAGGCGTCTCTATGTCCATTGAATCGATCTTGAATCGAGTCATGATTGACGATTTTTCTAGGGGAAACTGGGGAGGTTTGGTTATATGTACTCTGTTGAATTTTACAGGTTCAATGTGCAAATCTCATCAAGAAAGCCATAGTATTTTTCAATTAGCTTCATATATACTCTAAAGTATTGCGACTCAGCAAACTTTACATTTTGTACTTTAACGGGAAAAGTTATAAATTTACTAAACTATTTCCAACCAAGCCGGGTATCCTCTCAACATACGGTAACGCATGTAACGGTAGTGATTTC